AGGGTGAAATATTAATCAGCAGGAAATATAGAAAGAACAACAGTATAACACAAATACAAAGCCAACACCAGCTTATTTCTGCAAAGAGAATCACAATAACAAGCCCCAAGTCCTAAACATTTGCATATACATTAATCTATTTATCAAAAGCACGTGTGCAACCCTTTACATAAGCTACATTATTCCAAAATAGGCTACATTTTTAGATTACCCTTTTGCAGAATTTTAAAACCAATTAATTCCCATGTCTCGTTTCCAATTAGTGATTTAATAAGATCATGTACCAAATATGGGTGACCATATTACTAAAAACAACATGGAATAGATTTTACTTATGTATGGATGTACAGAAATTCAAATTAAAAACAAGATATAAGCAAAGTCTCACTTGTTCCATTTTCCACTAGCACCAGAAGAATATCCTAGGATGTTTCCAACTGCCATCCATGAGCAAAATACAGCATTTGAGACATTGCGTTGTTCAGGACCTAAATAAAAGAAAAATTACTATATAATGATGTTTCCTCACTACCAAACAAGTATTTAATAAAATATGGAAATCAATAAACCATGTTGTGGTTGTTGACAATTTGAACAAAGAAAACAAGACAGCAAACTTTACCAGACAGATCAGCCAAAAGTGCCCGAGCTGGCCCCTGCAGATTAAAATTGAAGAAATAAAGGGAAATTTAGTTTCCTGCTACACAACTGTATCAGTACAAAGATAATATAACACAAGAAGCACATGTCAATTACTTTAACATGCTTACCTGCACTGTGTTGTTTGCGAGGTCCAGCATCCAGAACCCAAGAATAAATACAACAGCAGCCCTTGTTCGGGTCCCTTTAAAAGTTCTACGATTTAAGACATACGAATTTCATTAATGTCTATGGTCATATCTGTGAAATTTAAGAAGTAGAAGAAATACAATGAGTATGAAAAGAACAAAAGGATGACAGCGGAAACCTGCAATGCTCGTGTGTATCACCTAATAGATATCCAATGTCTGCAGAAAATCCGATTAATATCACCTAAATTACAAGACTTGACTTAGCTTATATATACTGCAGTGTATTAAGTAAATCAACGTAAACAATCAATGTAACTGATGCTTACAGCCACAGATATCAGAAGAGATCCTGCCAAAATGAACGGCCGTCTCCTGCCAAACCTTGAAGTACATTTATCACTCCAAATTCCAACGCAGGGTTGAACCTTTACGAAAAGTTAAGACAAACATGTGACTTACTAGTTCAAAACCAACAAGAACAAATCCTAAATTTGTTTGTAGCACACCGTCTACATTCCACAAACAGTGCTTTGCAATGAAAATATCAGTTACTATTTTACAAGAATAATTCAGATCTAAATCACAATACACAAGGCCAAAGCAGCAAGAGACAAGCATGAATTCACCAGTAGTTAGTCATACATGCGCATTCATCAAAAAATAGATAAAATTCGGAGCAGTAAAACAAACCAATGCAGTCAAAATGTTTAGCACAAGATAATGAAAATCACTGCCAAAGATGAGAGGAAAACCCGACGCTTACCACAAGACCTGTAATGGGGCCACAAAGCCAAATAAAGGAAGAAAACGCATGTCCTATTCCCAACGTCTGCACCAAAACGCAACAAAACACATAGTTAATTGGAATCCTGAATATAACGATACACACTACACAAACTCAATAAACAAAGCGAATTCAACAACTAACACGAAGCCAAATCAGGAATCAGGTTGCAATTGGATTAAGATCCTCTTCAGTTAAGATATAAACTGCAAACGATCTGAACCGTTAAAGTTAATTAACTAATTACTAAAAAAAGCTATAATGCGAATACATTAAGTCATCAACTATCCGCTATTGGATGCAACTGCATCCTCGTGCAGCTCCTTCATGAACCGTAGAGGATCCGGTTCCGATCGAAATAACAACAAAACGCAATGCGCAACCGCGAAACAGAAGGATCTGATAAAGCATGCAACCGCGTATATCGAAAAGTGAAAAACGCATCGATTTAGTTGGAGCCTGGAGGAGGAGAGAGAGAGAGAGAGACCTGAATGTATGGCGTCAAAAGAGAGAGCTGCAAGGCCCAGCCGAATTGGACGCCGGCGGCGACGGTGCAACTGAGAACGAGTCTGAGGAGGGAGGCGTTGGCCTTGGGCGGCGACGGCGAGTGATTCGGCGGAGGCGGCGAGTTCCGGTGGTCGACATCGACGAGTTCGACTTCGGGAGCGGAGGAATCGTGGCGAAGGTTCTTGTACGGAACGCGGATCGACACCGAGTCAGTCTTCCCCGCCATCACGATTTACGACGCGCCGATGCACATTCACGCGATGGAGAGAGAAAGAGAGAGAGCGAAACGACGCCGTCTAGGGTTTCCTTTCTTTTCTCCTTTTCGCGTGGATCGTAGAGAGAGAGAGAGAGAGAGGGGGGTCAAAGAATTTGGCAAGAAGAAGAAGAAGAAGAAGAATAGAGGAGGAAATGGAGGCTACCGTGGTTGCGAGGGAGATCCGCTACGTTGCACCAGCGTCAAGTATGGTACTCCTTCACTGCTACACTGCCACGTGGCGAGTTCAACCGCGTGTGGGTCCCTCCTTTTGGAAACTCATCAAGTAAAGACGATTCCTTCATTTAACGGTTCAGATTGAGTCCATAAATGAACTAGCAGCATTGATAAATGAGAAAATTCATTAAACAAGAGAATAATGTTAAATAATTCCAAGCGCCACTATTAATTCATAAAATAAATTTAATTACTAGTCTTGACTCAATTCATTCCACTTTTTTTAGTTTTGGTGAGAATGTTAGCATCACTTTTAGAATCATGCGAAATTTATAAAAGAGAAATGATGTCAAATGTAGTAACCAGGAATTAGGCATGGAAAAGTGGGTCGTGGCCTGCGGGCCGTCTCGTTGGCCCGCCAAAAATTGGTGAGTCGGACCTATTATTTTAACCTACCAAGCCCGCCAACCTGCCGGACTAAATAGCGGGTCAGTCTGCCACAACTCACTGGCCCGCATATATATTTTTTAATTTAATTATTTTTATGTTTATTTTATTTTGATGTAGAAGATGAGGATGAAGATGATAAAGAAAAAAAAGTAGAGATAATTTCTTCCAAGAAAGCTTCTAATATTTTTAAAATAAAAATTCAAAGTTAATTAATTATATTTGAACTTGTTTTGTGGACTATCAAAAAATTTAGTTTATAAGTAATTTATACGTTTATAATTTGGTTTTGATTTTAGTGTAAATGAACTAATTTCTATTTGATTCTGTTCTAAGTTTGTAATTTATTTTTGTTAAACATATATTATGTACAATATGTATGCATTTTTAATTTTATATGATTATATTTATTTATTTGTAGCAATTTTTTTTATTTGAACATAAAATATATATTTTTTTTCCATTTTTTATATTTTTTTTTTGTATGCGACCTGACCCGCCAACCCGCCAGCCTATCCTTAGTCGGGGCGAGCTGGCGCCCCGCCCCAGCCTGGCCCGTTTTTGGCGAGCTAATAGCAGGCAGGGCTAAAACGAGCCCGGCTGCCCGTTTTGCCACCCTAAGAATGGTATGAATTTATTGAAAAAGTTAATACACTTTATATTGTTTTAATGTAATAAACACTTTTGTATTAATAGAATTTTACTATATCTAGTTAGATGTTTAAAATTAGTCTTGAAGTTTATCTATAATTATAGTTTTTATCTTTCTAATTTATGATACGGGTGTTTTTAAATTCACAACTCTTTTTTAACAAATTAAATCTCTTTATTTTGAAGATTAAATTAAACAAATATATTTATGGATGGAGATAAAATGATAATTAAAGCTAGTAAATACTTCAAGTTAATAATATAATAATTATAAAATATAAACATAAAGGTATTTTAATAAAATTATTTAAGTCAATAATTTAGAATATATATTAAATTTTGACGATTCAACTAATAAATTAAAAAAATTAATTAATAAAATAAGTTTACAAATTTCTATAAAATTTATAAATTATTTGATATTTTATTTTATTAATTTAGATTAATGTATAATATATTTTTATGAATGTACATTAATTTGAGTTTATATAATAAAATATTAAATAATTTTTAAACTTTATAAAATTTGTAAATTTAATCAATTTATTGATAATTTTTAATTTAATAATTAAATTTTTGAAATTTAATGTGCATTACAAGTAACTCTAGTAAAAATTATTCTTGTCTATATGTATATATACTTCTCTTGCCATTTTTTTAATGATTCAATTAATTTTAAAATGTTGTTTTTTTTAAATTTTAAAAAGTTATAAATTTATGATGAATTTAGAATATGGAAAGTTTTAAAAGTTCAAGGGTTAAAAATTAATAAAAATTTGAAGGATTTTTAAAATAAGATATTAAGGTTTGAATAAGAGAAATTTTTAAGATTTATTTATTTTAGGTTAAATTTGATACTTTGTTAATAAATTTTGAGAAAAGTTAAAGTGCTTTACTTATTGAGATTTATAAAAAGATGAAATTAAAAATTATGAATTAGTTTTCTTTTTTGTACATATAAGTTTAAATTAAAATAAGGAAAAATCAATCACCAACGTTTATTTTAAGATTTTCAATGAAAAAATTTATAACCTACTTTTTCTTCAAAGTAAGTTCACATAAAAGAATATAAAAGAAAAAAAAACTAATTTGATTTCAAATCATAACTAAAAGAAACAAAGAAACCTAACAAACTTTTGTAAAAGTCAAGATTCTCTTCATTTCTATTTCTTTTTTTTTTTTCTATTTCTTTTATTACTAATGTTTCAAGAGTATAAATTTTACTCTCTCTAAAGTATATATCAATTTTATTTTATTTATTATATCAAAAGTTTAGAAAATGAAAAAAAATAATAATATAAAAGAGAATGAAGAGAATCTAAATTCTTCTTGGATGACTAAATTATGGATTTGTTTAAATTTTATTACCGTTATGTTTGGCAAAACTAATAAAAAAAACCCCGATTAATCAATTTGCAAGTTATTATTAGGACGTCGCCGACTTTGTCTTTTTTAATTCTCTTTTTTAAAAACAAATTTATGTTTTCTGTTACCTTTTTGAAGGAGTGTTATCTTTCTCTTCCACAATTCTTATTATTTCACTTTTTTTTTGTTCTTTACATTAAAAATAATTCCTTATATTTTAATTATTTAATGTAAATATACGTCTTGTCTTTTATTTGCTCCCTGTTAGTTCACGTTCGAAAAATTTATATTCTTTAGCTAAATTTTAATTTATAAGTATTGATGTGCTTTGGTAATAATTTATCATGAAATTAAAATTTTGTGGAAAAAAAGTGGTCTTGAATCCAAGAGTGGGGACTATTTTATAAGTATGGTCAAGCGTACACAGGATTTTCCACTCAAAGGTAAGTGGTCACTGTAGTGAAGGTGATGTTAAATTGAATTAGGACCGTGTGATTTGGACCATTAGAAATCATAGGGTTGGGATACAAACCTTGGATCTGAAGTACCTAGTTTTGGGACATAGATTCAAAGTCTTAATCAAAATTTTGGTTTATTGGCGTCACCGACAACACAAGGGTTTTCTTTTCTCCGCATTCATTATTGGGACCTTTTTCTAAATATGGCAAAGTACGCTATGTTATTTATGTGGACCGATTTGCAATATCTGAAAGATGTTACCGCAGGTAAAGTGTAAGTCATTCTAAACGTTGATTTAATAAATGTTATTATATCAGACGGTTAAGATTATAGAACCATGATGGACCAATCTTATTGAAGTCCATGTCATGCCATGCCTTAGAGGGATTTTTACAGGTTACTTCTTTTAATAAAGTTTTTCATGTCGGACAATATAGGAAAAATTTGAAAGATTAAATAATTAAATAATATATAAGTAGAAAATGATATTTATCTTATAAATTAATTTTGTAAGGTTGAGTTGAGATTAAATTTATTATTCTAATATGGTATCAGATCTTAAATCTTTAAAAAGGATAATCTATCATAGATCATTACAAAAAGGATCATTCATCATTTATTCACATACTAAATCAAATAATGTTGAATGTGAGAGGATATATTTAACACTGATTAAATATTAAACAATTAAATAGTATATAAGTAGAGAGCAATTCTCATCTTATAAATTGATTTTATATGGTTGAGTTAGGCTTAAATCTATTATTTTAAAAGATAAAATTTATGTGAAGTTAATTTAATTATGTTAAAAAATATATCAATTTTTAATATTTTTGGTGAAATTAATGATATGGTCATTCGAGAGCTTCTGTGGATGGTGACTCGGTGGGTGGATGCTTGCTGAGTCAGCCCAATGCGTGTATGCTTTCTGACTCGGGTGTTTTTTTGGTTCGTTCCTGGAGTATCCACCGCCGACAGTAGCGACTAATCTCCTCACTACGTTGGAGGCACCTCAAAGGGTGGGATAGCTGACCTCAAGATTTAACGCGGCTGCATACACAAGGCAAGATTCGAACCCTTGACCTTGTTTAAGCGTGGATCAACCCCTACCGCTGAACCACACGCTTGGGATTTGACTCGGGTGTTTGAAAAGTTGGAAACTAATTCTTCAAAATCTGCAACAAATTCCATATAAAGGTCCAAAACAACACTTAGTTAAATTAACATTATTTAAGAAACGAGTTAATAGAAATATTTGTTTTCGATTTTAATTATTAAAAATTATAATATATAATTGCAATTAAAAACTATTCTTGTTCAATGTTTTAAATAATTTACTTTAGAAAAAATAGAATATAAAATTTGATATACTTTTATATATATATATATATATTAAAGTTTCATATCATATCGTTACACAAACATTATTGGATTTCTTTTGTTTTACAACCGAAATAGACTAATGAATTTTTTTTACCATTGCTAATCGGATGGATGAAATTTGAGGTGTTTGCTACATCTTTAAGAAATAGAATGAAAAAATAAATAAAAGGAAGAAAAATAAGTAAAAAACATAACAGTAAATAAGTAAATAATTAAAAATATTTTTAAATAATTATTTAACTTTAATCGATTAAATCTAAAAATTTAATTCACTATTTAAAGTATAACATATTAAATCTTTGAATTCAATTTTTTTTAAAATAAGAATATATATTTTAAAAGATAAAGTGCATTTATAATTGTTGATTATGAAATCAACTTGAAAATTGTGATAAAATTAAAATTTTATATTATAAAATTTAAATTAATTATAATATTAATTATTAATTTTTTAATTCATAATTATTATTAAACTTTATTATATTTAGAATCAAATCCTAAATGTTTCAAATTTGAAACATCAACTTCAAGTTGCATTCGATTAATATGTTATCATTCGAAACAGTAACTTTAAACAGCAAAATAAAAAGGTGGTGAGAACTACTTTTTTTTTTACCCAACATCTAATTTATCAAACACTCGATCTTATTTTCACCATCACATTTTTAGTCTCTGCTTATCCTTCGCATGTCTTATACATATCCACGATACCAAACATCGTTAATGTTATTCTATATTAGAGTGAAAAATACTATTCTTCATTTTTGTCTTTTTTATTCTATTATTTCACTAGAATATTATAGTTGTCACCTATCTTATTTGTTTTGATTTGTTATTTTGTAATCATCCCTTTACAACTATATCAATAAGGGGTAACTTCTATAAAAGACTCCCATATGTTGTATTCTTTTAAAGAATGAGTGAAATGAAATGAAATATAATCTTTTACAACTTAATTTTTCTTTCTAATCTTCTCTATCATGGTATCCAGAGCCAATGGTTTTAGAGAAAAACCTTAATCCTTTTCTCTCTCTCTCTTTTTTTTTTTCCTTATATGGCAATCGTGAATTCCAACCCTTATGCACCCCAATATTTTAATATCGCCATCACCGAAAAACTTGATGATTCGAATTATCTTTACTAGCAACGAAAAATCGAACTCGTTATCAAGTCGCATAAGCTTCAAGTTCTTCCTTAATCCTTTGATTCCTTCATGGTATCTAAATTATGATGATCGTGCCATTGACAAGGTCAATCTTGAGTATGAAGATTGGGAAGTTCAAGATTAGATGTTGCTCACTTGGTTTCAATCAACTTTGTCGAAATTGATTCTCTCTCGTGTCATTGGCTTCGTTCCCTCTTATCAAGTCTGGGAAAAGATTCACGAAAATTTTCACATGCAAACGAAGGTACGCAGACGTCAACTCCGTACTGATCTTCATGCTACTTCTCTTAATGGTAAAACAATGCGTGAGTTTTTGTCTTAGATCAAGAACATTGCTAACGAACTTGCTGGAGTAGGACATCCTATCCCTCTTGAAGAATATGTTGATGTGATTTTAGAAGGTTTACCACAAGATTATGCACCGGTTGTTTATGTTATTAAAAGCAAGTTTGCTACTCCTCCGATTGTTGAAGTTGAAACTCTTCTTCTTGAGCATGATTCTCGCGCCAATAAATTTCGCAAAAAATCATTTTCTCCTTCTATTAACTACACTCATGGATATGCTCGAGGTAGTGGAAATAGTGGTGGTGGCAATAGTGGTCGTCGCGAAGATAGTTCTAGCAAAGGTCGTGAAGGATGTTTTGCAAACTTTCAATGCTAGATTTGCTTAAAATATGGTCATATTGCCAATATTTTCTTTTACAGAGTTGATGCAAATTATCAACCTCATGACTCTCTGGTTCTATATGATCCTTCGACTCTACAACCTGTGCAGTTCAACCTCTCTTAATCCAACACCAGAACCTTTAATACTTGGGTGAATCCCACCTCAAAGCAACCCAATTAAGACACTAATATCAACTCGGTCACTCCCAATGCTATGCTAGCCAATACTTCTTCTTAGGGTGTTGCCAACTCTACTTGGATCCCTAATTCAGGTGCTTCCTTCCATATCACTGGTGAGCCTCAGAATGTACATCAGATAGGTCACTTTGATGGCCCGAACCAAATCTTCATTGGAAATGGTCAAGGTTTACATATTAATGGTTCTAGTTTCTCCTATTTCTTGTCCCCTATTAACTCAAATTTTTGCTTTAATTTGAACAATCTTCTTCATGCTCCCTCCATCACAAAACAATTGTTAAGTGTTAGTAAATTTGCCAAAGACAATTCGATGTACTTTGAATTTCACTCTTATTGTTGTTTTGTGAAATCTCAAGCAACCAATGAAATCTTACTTCAAGGAGTGGTTAGTACTGATGGGCTTTATTCCTTCCCGAATCTAGAGCTTCAAGGCCCCTTTGTGTTGGTGTCCTCTTCAACGACACCATCTCTTGATCTTGTTATGTCTACTTGTTCCAATGTTGTTTTTAATTCCACTAATGTAACTAAAATTTCTGATGTATCTTTGACTCTTAGTTCTCACACTATGTGACATACTAGGCTTGGTTACCCCAATTCTCATGTTCTTAAACTTGTTTTTAATCATTGTAAAATTGTTCCATCTAATAGAAATGTTTTTGAGTTTTGTTCTTCATGTTGTGTAGGGAAGTCTTATAGACTTCCTTCCTCTATTTCTGAATCTATTTACTCTACTCCCTTAGATTTAATTTTTACTAATTTATGAGGACCATCTCATGTTGTTGCACATTCTGGTTATGTTTACTATGTTTCCTCTATTGATGCTTTTTCTAAATTTACATGGATCTATCGTTTGAAATAAAAATATGAAACTCTATTTGTCTTTCAACAATTTAAAGTTATGGTTGAACTTCAGTTAAATACCAAAATTAAAAGCATCCAATATGACTAGGGGAGGGTGTCGCAACCCGAAAATTTCCGATCTCGCGACTAATGGTTTAGACATCCGTTTGAAGGTCTCATTAATTAAGGAATGCCCAGACGTCAGACTAATCCTTAATTAATGGTTTTGAAAATAGGTTCATGGAGTCGCCACCAATGTTTTACTCAAAACATTGGAAAAAGAAAAGGTTTTTAAAAGTCCAATAATGGCCTTGATAACCAAAATTGGGTTCGGGGGTCGATTACATGTAGGGAAGGTATTAAGCACCCCTACAACGCCCTAAATCGGTACCCTATGATGAAGATAACGTAATAAGAATTAATAATTTAAATATTTAATCCCCTATATTAATGATTATTTACACGAAAATTAAATTATACGGTGAACTCTAAGATATCTACATAATTGCGTTTATTATAGCAATATATAAAATAAAAGAAGAGAAAGATAGAACAAGATATTGATGAGTAATACCTCGTAGCAAGCTTTATTAGATCTTCAACTATGGAGATTTTAGGTGCTTTGCGGCAATCTTTTACACTACAATATGCCTCACAAAACTCAAGAAATACAATAGGAGGGAGAGAGAGAGAAATTTCGAGCTCTAAGGAGTTTTGGACGAAATTTTTGGAGTCCTCTGAACTGTGGCCAAGATTTCTATTTATAGGCATCAGACGTGGGTCGGAACGGCCCGTTCTAGATTTGAAACGGCCCGTTCTGGATTTGAAACGGCCCGTTCCGGATTTGAAACGGCCCGTTCCAGATTCGAAACGGCCCGTTCCGGATCCGAACATTATGTATTATTTTTGCACCCTAGAATGGCCCGTTCTGAAATGAGAACGGCCCGTTGTGGGATACAAATTTTAGTCCCTTTGATTGGTTTGGAACGGCCCGTTCTAGTTTGGAACGGCCCGTTCTAGTCTGGAACGGCCCGTTCCAACCTACAATTTTAGGCCTTCTTAGGAGTCTCGGAACGGGCCATTCCAATTCAAGAACGGGTCGTTCCAGACTTTGAAACAAACCATTCTGAATTTGGAACAGCCCGTTTCGGGCCACTAAAAATAGTTGATTTGGGCTTTTGGGCCCTCTAATGTCCTATCTTGTTGTTTGTATGCCCCCAGACGAAATTGGGTGTCTACAGTTGCCCCTCTTTACTTGTCCTTTGGAATGGATGTGTTACTTCTCCAAAGGCAAGTAAAGACGTAGACATTTTGTCCGGGTCTTCTTCTCGTCTCTGTGTTGATGCTTCTACATTGCTTCCCTTGGACAGGTGTATTTGCTCTTATCCTCACCCTTTAGAGCAGTTGAACATTGATTGCGTGCTCTATTGGGTAACAAGGTTGACAAACTGTACACCTGATCTTCAGTCTTCGAGTAGAAGCTCCATTTTTTCTCTTGTGATAATGTGTCCCTTTATTTGTATCTTGTTTAAGAGGGAGGATTATTATGGCTGGCCTCTCCAGGCTGCCTATTGAATGGTGAGTATTGTTATGTCTGGCCTCTCCAGGCTGCCTGCTGATATTGTGAGTATTTTTGTGCCGGCCTTTCCAGCCTGCCTGCTGATATTGTGAGTATTGTTGTGCCGGCCTCTCCAGGCCGCCTGCTGATATTGTGAGTATTATTGTGTCGGCCTCTCCAGGCCGCCTGTTGACATTGTGATTATTGTTATGCCGGCCTCTCCAGGTTGTCTGTTGATGTTGTGAGTATTGTTGTGCTGGCCTCTCCAGGCCGCCTACTGATATTGTGAGTATTGTTATGTCGGCCTCTCCAGGTCGCCTACTGATGTTGTGAGTATTGTTATGTCAGCCTCTCCAGGTCGCTTG